AAAAAAAAATAATAAATATAATGTACTTCTTTTAAGAAAAATACAAAGTTTCTTATTACATTATTATACTATTGGTTTTTACATTAGAGAGAACTGAGCCTTAAACATTGTTTTTGCACGGATAAAGCAGCTTGCTAAGTGTAGCAAGCTATGACCAGTAATGTCAACATTTGACAAATTGTTTATTGTTGTCATCTGTTGGTTTGAAAATTGTTGTTGTAATTGTTATTTAAAAAACTATAATTTTTAATAAAAATGGTATTTTCAAATATTGAGAAGTATAATATGTTTGTGTTGTATTGTCAATACAATTTCAATTCTGCTCAAGCACTGGCGGAATATAGAAATAAATTCCCAAATGCCGCCCAACCCAACAGAAGAACTTTTTCAAAATTACGAGAAAACCTTCGAAGATATGGATCTTTTAAGAAGGACAGGGGAATAAAATCAGCTAATGTTGTTAATAACATAGGTAATGCTAACAGAATTTTAAATTATGTGAATAGGAAAAATGAACAAAACACTGATACATCTTTGAGAGAAATTGCAGTAAACTGCAATGTAAAGAAGGATAGTGCAAGAAGAATATTGCGAAAAAATGGTTTCAGATGTTATAAGGTGAAAAAAGTGCATCACTTGAGAGAGGCAGATAAACCGAGGAGATTAAGATTCTGTAGGTGGTTACAAGAAAGAAGGAGGGAAGATCCTTTTATATGCAGAAGAATTCTGTGGTCAGATGAGTCAAACTTCTCTAATAATGGATTTTTTAATAGAAATATTCACTTCAAATGGACTAATGGTAATTTACATTGGCACAGAGAAACCGCATTTCAACAGAGGTTTTCAATAAACGTTTGGGTAGGAATTCTTGATACCAAAATCATAGGACCTTACTTCTATGATGGTAAACTGACGGGTGCCAGATATCGCAGATTCTTGGAAAATGAATTTAGCGAGTTGTTAGATGATTTGCCACTCGAAAATAGACAAAACTTTATTTATTTTCAGCAAGATGGAGCACCGCCACACAATTCGGAAATTGCTCAAAATGACCTTCATCAACAATTTCCAGGACGCTGGTTGGGTACACATGGACCCATTGAATGGCCAGCCCGTTCTCCGGATTTGTCACCCCTTGACTTTTTCTTTTGGGGTTATATAAAAGATAAAGTCTTCCACAGTACACCTGAAACTGTGAAAGATCTAAAGTTAAAAGTAAGAGAAGCTTGTGCCTCGGTGCCTCCTGAAATCCTAAGAAACGTAATACGCCGTATTAGTGTGACGTCACCGGTTGTGGTAGGTTAGGACTGTGAATCTAAACAAGCTTGGGTTATCATATATGTTCAGAGAAATTTAGAGTTTTTATGCAGTTTTAATATTCAAGTGGAAGTTTTGACAATTGCAAAGATTTACACACTAATGTGTATCGATGTAAAATACTTTTGTAGAAATCAAGGTGAGTTTATGTTGGCAAATTCTGCTTAACTATTTTATAACCTTACATTTGTTAAAGGTGAATTTGTGTGTAAAAACCATTTTCAGGAACCAAATGGTTTCGGAAAATTAGGGATTTTGATAGTATTTTATGTTACAAATTGCTTAATAATTATTTTTCATTTTTATACAGTGTACATTCAACTAACCATACCTAACTATGGGAATGTGCTGGGCCTCGGACTGCAAACATTATAATGTGCGTGATACCTGCAAATTCTTTAGATTTCCAAGATCAGGAAAAGAAAGATCTAAGTGGAAACGATTGTTAAGGTAATGACTGTTCCATAGTTTATATTTTTTTTTACCATTTTTGTCATTTGTAGGAGAGACATCGAACCAGGTCCAGGTGCTTATGTCTGTAGTTGTCATTTTCGAGATGGCAAGAAAGAAAATGGACCTGAATTATTTTTGCACAATATTGCAAAAAGATCATTATTTGATGTCACACCTGCCGAGAAGAAAAAAAATCCTTTTAAAAAAAGGAAACAATCATCTCCCTCTTTATCAAGTTCTACAACTATTATTGATAGATCAAGGTACTCTAGTCATATATCTTTTTAATATTAGTTTTGTAGCAACATCATAATTTTTTAGCGTTACTTCAGAAATCAGTGTGCCGAAGGAACCGTTTGTAGAAGCTTCGACATCACGAGAATGTGTTCTCACTTCAGTGAGTGACTTACCTGCAACATTGCAAACAAATGCGGCTTTAGAAGCAGAAGTTTATTTCTTAAAGCAAGAAAATGACGGCTTTATTAGTAAAACTACATATATGTCACTCAGATTTAGTTATGAAAATATTCAAGGCAATGATAAACTTATTGTTTTGTATACTGGCCTCCCTAACAAACAAAGTTTTGAAGCATTATTTAATTTTATTAAAGACATACCCATCAATTATTACTTAGGGTGGAAAGTAGACAAATTAACCAAAATTGACCAACTTCTGTTATTGCTCATGAAACTAAGGCTTAATTGTCCTCATCTGGATTTAGCTCAAAGATTTGCTATTTCACAAACATCTGTTACAAATATTATCCTAACTTATGTTCATGTATTATATGAATTGTTATATAATCAGTTAATGGCTACTATACCGTCACGTCAAAAAAACAAGTCGTGTTTACCTACTTGTTTCAGCAATTTTACAAACTGTAGGATAGTTTTAGACTGCACAGAGATTTTTACGGTGGTTGCAAGAAAATCTATGAAAACACAAAGACTTACTTATAGTAATTATAAGCACCATAACACGTATAAAGGTTTAATAGGTGTAGCTCCTAATGGTGTAATAACTTATGTGAGTGATTTATATGTAGGATCAACGTCAGACCAGAAAATTGTTCAAGACTGTGGTATTTTAAATGCTTTGGAAGCAGGTGACCTAGTATTGGCTGATAAAGGATTTTTAATTCAAGACCTCTTACCAGCTGGTGTAAGCTTAAATATACCACCATTCTTAACAAGTCCTCAGTTTACTCCTCAGCAAGTAAAATGCACTGAAAATATAGCACGTGCCAGAATTCATGTGGAAAGAGCTATACGCCGTATGAAATGTTACCACATTTTGAGTTTTATGCCAGAGTCTTTGTGTGCTTATGGTGATATAATTTTCAAAACCGTCGCAGCTTTAACAAACTTCCAATACCCCCTAATTAAAGAGGTGGGTCAACTCTTTCCTGACGATGAGAATTGAGTTATTTTAATTGTTGTCTCTTGTAATTTTCTGAGAAACTAAGTAGGTTTAAGTTTATTTACTATAAAATATGAATTTAAAAAGTTGTATGTATTTTGACTCAAGTTGGGTGTATTTTGCTATTTTTATATTTTTATTATCTATTGTGTCCATGGGTTTTGAATAAATAAACAAATAATGTTTAAAATTTATTTTGAAATATATGGTATATATTTACATAAATAAAAGTTTTTTAATATATCCAGATTACTAATCTACTCAGAATCCTTTTTTATCTCGAATATATCAGTATACCGAGGTGTCCATACCACAAAGTGACATCTAGTACTGCCAGTCAGATACATTTGTCCTTGGGCTTGATGATAATAGTTATGGCTACCATTTATAACTAGTTCCTTATTTTCGTCATAATAATAAAAATATGTCTGGTCATTTAGGGCATCATGTAAATTATCCACGTCTCTATATTTATATGGACATTTCACTTCTACAAGGGCATCTGAACCCACTAATCCATCAGGGCTAGCTCCCAAAATACCAGATGAATCCAACCTACATAAAAAACAACAAAGGTTTTATCCATTCTTACATTTTACAATAACTCGCTAAAGTACTAAACTGTTCTACATATACATAACTTACCACAGGCCTGTTTGTTCAACAGTGACATTTACAGCCACTGAAAATTCCTTTAAGGCTTCTTGTTCATGAGCCTTCCCCCACTGGACGGCAGCAATCCTTTCAAGGCTATAGCCTTCAGCGAGACTTTTAAATAGAGATGGTGGAAATCGGTTTCTTTTACAGGCTGACAATACCATCCCAAACCTACTCGCTGTCAACCTGTGTTTCCTGGCTAGATGCCAGTTGTCGTTAGTATGCTGCCCACGTGTAATTTTTTCAATGGTACAAATGATTTCTTGTGATACTGCACACTTTTCAGAAATAAACCGCCCTTTATCGTTTGATATTCTGCACTCTGCAAAACTGCCTCAACATCGGGAATTATCAGGGTAGCTTCATGGGTGACTTCAGGTCTGAGGAGCCAAGCAAAGCCCACAACATTGGTGTTTCCCAAGTCATTACGCAACTGGGCAATTTCATTTTCGGTAGCACATCGTTCAACTGCTTTATATGGCTTCTTGAGTTGGTGGACATCTTTTAGCTTAACTATGTTATCTTCGTGATGACGCTTTGCACGAGGAACACTCCATTGGCATTGCATATCAGTTACACTTATGTTATAATGTGCATAATAAAGTACAGCTGCCATATGGTGGCAGGAAACAGTACCCCTTGGGCAAGTGCAATATGCGTCTTTAACGCCCTCCTCAAGATCAAATGATATCTAAACAAACAAATTACATTAGTGCTTTCATTAAAACATTCTTGGAAACACAAACCTCAATGTTGTAATTATGGTTTTTCATACTAGCCTTCACCTCGGCTTTAATCATGATCGGTTGCACTGTTCCATCAAATGTAAATTTAACGACATGTCCACTTCCATAGGCATTTTCGCCCCGAGCCAAAGGCCTATGAGCATCGCCGAAAAATTGGGCTATAAGATGGAACTTTATAATGTGCTTCTCCGCCACTAAAATAAATTCTTTTAACGTTTGTTTAACTAATATTGTATTTTACTTACTTGGATGAAACACTTATAGAAATAACGGTAACGAAATAATTTCAATTTTTCGCCCAAACGTACAATTATTCTGCTAAGAAAAGTGAGGTTAGGACACAATTAATTTAGATTTATCCTGTTACTTACGAAAATATGCACAGAAATGGAAGTCCAAAGATGTATTTCAAACAAATAAAGTTTTTAATAAATTACACAATAAACAAAAACAACACTATGAAACACAAAATCAAAAATACGGTGAAGCTAAACAAACGCGAATGATGAAAAAGAATTGTTTAGATTCATGTACCTGACCTTTCCCAATAAAGATGGAGGAAATACGTCATCACTAATGCTGCGTATAAATGCTGTACCAAGGAGGGTCCGACTATGCGTCAGAAATCGAGGTGGCCTGTTTGAGCATCTTACTTAAATTATTATTATTTGTATGTGTTAGTTATACTAGTATTAGCTGTTAAATTAAATATTTTTGAATTTTTTAGTTTTAAGATTACCTTTTCTGATCTAAATTTAAATAAAAATTGTTTATAATTTAGCACTACTTATTTTTACTATTGAACTAATAACAATTGAATCAATTAAATTAATGTTTTGAGAATTAAGAGCACCTCAATTCAAACGTAAAATGTAGGTACCTTGTTATCGCTATCGAAAATTAATGCGTAAATATGTACCAGTTTTTTATTATAATAATATTCTTATAAAAATATTCTTTGTTACAAAATTAAATTCGTCTGATCAGGAATGTCGCATTATAAGAGGCACTTTTTTCTCTGTAACTACTTACAGAATTTTTAGAGCTTTCCTCTTCCTCAAATGACATACACTTTTTTATTTTATAACACCTTCAAAATGATAGTTTTTCAAATAACAATTTTCAAGCCAACAGTTACATATAACAATAAACAGTTTGCCAAATGATTACATTACTGGGGTCATAGGGGTAACACATTTGTTTTTACAGCTTGCGACATTTAGCGTAAGCTACTTTCTCTGTGAAAGAACAATGTTGAAGGCTTAATTCTCTCTAATGCAAAAACCAATACTATAGTAAAGTAATAAGAAAATCTGTATTTTGCTTAAAAGAAATACATTATATTTATTAATTTTTTTGTAGTTATGTTTAAAACAAATTTCTACATTAACAAGCAATACGAACATTTTTATATTTTTTTATATCAAAATTATAAAAAATGTAATAAATATAAAAGATGAAGGCGACATGTAGTATATCGCAGGAAAGAGGAAAAAACAAGCAATTTTTTTGTGGCCATAGCCTACTTCGATGACAATTTTTTTTTGCCCGTGTAGAGGGCGCAGCAATTTACATACGATAGTTCAAAAATCTGTTTACACCAGGTGAAAGATATCAATTTTGCCATGAAATTTTATTAAAATAAGTTTTCTCTATCTCTTAAAATAAAAAACTTAAACGACCCTAAACTTTCGGTACTTTTCCGGTTTTTTTATGATTACTCACAAAGTTGGCCATGGATCTCAAATTTGTTTCTATGAGCATAAAGGCCTTAAAAAATGCAACAAAAAACATATAAAGATTTTTGACGTGCGACGTATATTAAGCGAGATACATAGAAGGGGCCCTCTTACAGTAGACAGCCTGTATACACAAACTTCGACATTTTTTTGAAAGTCAAACATATTGCACTCGAATAGCCTTATTATTATTTCTTCGTTTGCATAGAGAATGCAAGATACTTTTCAAAAAATCTAAATTAAGGTTAGTTGCTACCGTACATGACTTGAAGTAGTTTTAAAAAGATTTACTTTCTAAACCACACATTGAAAATTAAAAATATTTAATAATCACACTTAGCAAATGCATATTTCGCTAATTCATTTGAAGGATGGTTACTCAGCTAATTCGAACCATTAATATGATTTTAACCATCTTCTTCAAAATTACGAAGAGCCCTCTAGCGTGAATTTGTGAGATTCCTAGGAAGATTCACTCTTAAATTATATGATATATATTTCAAAATGAGGGCAAAAGTAAACGGCGTTTCATTTCAGGTGCCATTCTCCAGCCGCGTCAAGAAAAGTGAATGTCTCGCTCGCCCGAGTCTTGGCACTGGCATTCTATAATAATTATTATAGGCTGGCTCAAATAACGAAGATAATTTATTGATGAACCTATTTACCACAAATACATCTTCTTCAAAATCTAAATGACCCCCCTTCGATGGAATCTGCCTCAAAATAACCCTTCTTTGCGGGAATCTGCCGCGAACTTCTTTTTTTTTACAGCTTCTTTAAAGGACCCCTCCTAGCGGGAATCTGCCCGGAACGTCTTCTTTTTTTACATCTTCTTCAAAATCTAAAACCCCTCTTCGCGGGAATCTGCCTCGCAATGACACCTCTTCGAGGGAATCTGCCCTGAACATCTTCTTCACCCCTAAATTATGCAAATTGAGCTGGATCTCCTTTTGCTTATCTACTAATCCAGTTAAGTTCTAAACAAAAATAACTTCTAATATAATATATTAAGGATAAAAAACAAATGTATACTGGAATGTTAACATCCAGCTACAGAATGGGAAGAACATACAAATATTTAAATACTATATTAGGCAAATCCATTTTATTCTATTATTAAGGTATTTTATTTGTGTAATGTACAATCCTTCAAGTAAACACAAATTATACAAACGTTTCCTCAAACTCGAAGGATATCACCACAAAACAGTAACTAGAGATATTACAGACAGATTGCGAAATTCGTAATTTATGAAACATGTCAAAAAATATAGGGTTAGGTTTAATGATCCCTGCCTGTTCCCCCGAAAATATCAGTAGAAGAAATAGGGAACAATTTTTCTATCATTACTCAATAGAATACCATTCAAGAATACCGATTAATGAGTTTTAGTAGACACCCCCCCCCTCGTTCCTTCTACTCCCTATAATTCAAGAATAAAATCCCTGAACTCTGATTGAGACTCCTTTTCCCTATAACTTCTGTCCCCCTCGCTCAATCGGGACGCGGTTAGAACCGGCGTTTTCCTTACACGTCTTTTGATGTAGGATTCACTCCGGAAAACGTGACAACCTAAGGGTGTATGGAGGTGGTAAAGTGACGCTAGAGGTAACGAGGGGGTCTTATTCATTTTTAGTAGACTTCTTCGTTCTTAGTGGCCCAGAAAACAAAGGAATAGGTACTCACCCCACTCGACTTTGTATGAGAATCGACATTTCAACTCCCAGAAAGTGGTGTATGGGAGGGTAGAGACGCTAGGGGGTAACGAGGGGGTTTAATTCATTTTTGGTAGTCTTCGTTCTTAGTGGCCCAGAAAACATAGGAATACACACTCTACTCGACTTTGTATGAGAATTGACATTTCAACTCCCAGAAGGGGTTGTATGGGGGTGGTAACGGGGAAATGGCTAGTTAAATTTATTTTAGAGACCCCAAAAACGGAGGGGTATGGGGGTCTACCCTCTGGGTCTTGACATTATTTCTTTTGTGTGCCTGTGATAATTGTTACGATTTTGCTGTCCTCTTCCGCAATTATTATTGAATTATAAAAATTTTCGTAGGGTAAAATACATTTGAATTATTATTGCACGTGTCAGCGTTAACGCTAATGAATTTTGTGATAACTTCTTGGACTGTACAAAAGGTGCTAGCCTCCACGACTATACGAGCTTTTTCTCAAACGACGTTACGACCTAAACATCTAATCGCGTGTTCTGTAGAGTATCTTCCTGCTACTTCGTACGGAATTCCTTCGCCAATGAATGCTCTCTTCAGATTTTCTACTAAACCTTCTATTTGTGCACTATAGCTTGCAGCATCTTTATGATTTTTGAAATTTAATAATTTTGATGTTAAAGATTGTGAACTCTCGCCTTTAATTTTATTTTTAAGTGTATTTATTATTGCTGGTGAAGAGGCTTCAACATAATTAACAAGATGGTCTTGTGAATTTTAATCTAGCAAAGTTAACGCATCTAAAAATAATTGCAATTTATCGGGAGAGCCATCAAAATGTTGAGGTATAATTTTGCTAGCCAAGTTAAAAATTACCCCTTTTTGTATAAAATTTTCGGTAACAATTAACGGATTACTCGTAATTTGCTCCAAACAGGTTGCAGGAACTTTATATTTTACATTTAATATCTGAAATGATTTTTCAACTTTTTCTCGAATTATAGCAAAACTTCGTTTAACTTCCAGTCTTTATATATTATCCACGTTAGATCAGTAAGAATTATAAATGTTGTTGTATTATTAAATAATTCCACAAAAGTATCTCCAATTTCGTTTCTGGTAAGTTCGCTTTTTTTATAGCACGTTTAGATTGATTAATATTCTCTTTAAATTTTTGCAATCTGTTCCCAGTTAGTCACCATAGACATTTACAATTATTTTGAGCAGATTTCTGAAAAAAAAACGTGACATGTATGTCACGTTTTTTCTCTCTACGTCCATGTGAAAGTAAAGAAAATTTTACCATCAGTTACTAATTCTAATGCATTACATAAAAATAATACCTACAGAGAAAATCCGGTGAGTTGTAATTATGCACTGAACAAGATCACCTTCATGTTTCGCATTACACAAATTTCCTATCTAACTTGTGGGCTCACACGCTGATCCTTTAGGGCAAGGGTCCCCAACCCTATGCCCGCGGGCACTATGGCGCCCGCAGACCGTTTTCATGTGCGCGCCGCTGAGCGATTCATTTAAAAAAATATTTAAGTTTTCAATAAACGGCCGCCGTGCACAGCTAGAAAAAAGTTGTACAATAATTATTGGTGATTTTCGTTAATTTTGGCTACCTATTGCAATATTTTTTAACAGAAACAGTTAACGAATGA